AAAACAACAAACGTCAGGGCGACGCGAAACGCGTCGTTCTCCGCCTCCCCGTCGAGGTCGCTCCCTTCGCGCCATGCGTCGTCCTCGGGGTCGACCGACGGGGCGAGGTCGCTCCCGCGCGCCGAGGACGACTCCACCGTCGAGGAATCCCCGGACGCGCAGAGGCAAAAAGGCCTCAAGGCGGGAATAGTTTGGGCATTCCACCGCTGATGACGCGCGGCGGTGATGTGCTCCTCCAGCGCGATGGGGTTCGACCCGGGCAGGCGGGCCGCACAAACCGGGCAATACCACCACGCCGATCCCGCCTCGGGGGGTTCGTCGGCCGCCGTCGCCAACGCCTTTCCGTCCAAACACGATTTTAACATCGTAAAAAAGCCATCCCAGTCGGCGATGTCGACCGAGGGGGTGCAAAACACGGCGTGCTGGAGCATCAGATGTTGGGAAAGGCCGTCGGAGTCCTCAAGCGCCAGGGCGCAGAGGATACAAACAATAGGGCCCTCAACCCCTTTGTGAAGCCGCTCTAACACCCGATTGCAGGCCTTCTGAAGTTCCGCGTGTTTAGGCATTGGGCGATTGAAACCTCCGGCGATGGTATGGTTCGTTTTGTTCTCGCTTCCTCTAAAATACCCCTGAAGCTGAAAAAAGAAAGGACGTTCGAAAGCATTTTTTACACCTCAATAAAGGAAGTTCAAGATAACAAGTGACACACACACACAAATTTAAAGCCAAATTAAGAATCCGATGCAGTACTTTATGATCACACCACTTTTTTAGACAGAGAGATTAAAAAAAGTAGACACGCCGAGGCAGTTTCACATCCTCCTGTGGGCTGACTGTGAAAATAAAAGCTACCGTCATGCCACCTTTCATCGCTTTTACTTAATCGCACAACTTAATAATAAAGCTCGGCCACAATACAAAGGGATCCAAACGCACCTTACTGTTTTCCTCGCGAATATTTTCAAAAACTCCTTGTTAAACTGAATAATACAACGAAGAATCTTCAAAAATATCAGTAAAAAGCCAAGCGTGACCCCACGCCTTTCATAGTTAAAAAAAAAATGTCTTCCCAAGCCCAGTCTTTCAATTTCGCGGCCCCGGGGCCAACGACCAGGGCGAATCGGCAATAACGCGATCAGACCCATCCCGAACACCGCCGAAGGGCCATTTAAAAGTCCGCATTTTCCATCGCCCGGAGCATCCGCCGCAGCTCCGCGATCGCGTCCTCCTCCGCGTGTTGGAAGTCGCCCTCGAACCACCTCAGTGGGGGCGCCGTGAAGGCCATCACCGCTTCGGAATCGGCGGAGGCGGTTGGCGAGTGCGGGAAGGAAAGCCGCGCGGCGTGGAGGAGATGCCGAGCGCAGCGCCAGGCCGGGGCGATAAAATCGGGGTGATACTTCGCCTGCGTATCGCGAACGCGGTCTAAATAAAGCGCATCCGCGACCGGGAAGGAAAAGCCCCGCTCGCCCGGGCGTTTCGTCGAGTAGAGTTTATCCCCCAGGACGGGGTAGCCAAGGTGAGCGCAATGCAGGCGAATTTGGTGGGTCCGCCCCGTGAGAATCTCCACCTTTGCGAGGGAAACCCCCCAGCGAGGGCTGGAATCGACGATGCGAATCCGCGAATAGGCCGCCTTCCCTGCCAAAGGGACGCCCGGGGTCGGGTCCGCCACGCAAATCATTTTTAATTTGGCTAATTTTCCGTGTAATTTCACAAAAGAATCGGATTCGGGGCGGCTGCCGATCGGGGCGATTCGTGAGTGTTCGACCACGTCCATCCCCTTTGCCGCCGCGCCGGACAGAACCGCCACGTACGACTTCCCCACCGCCTTTGTTTGGCGGGCGATTTGGGCGAACCTCGCGGGGGAAATAACGCCATCCCCTCCCCCACGCTCCTCCCACAAC